CACAATCTGTCTCGCGCCGTCGCGCAAACAAGAATCGATCATCGGCGCAGACATCGATTCCTCGCCATCTAATCCACTGTTATCTGCGCCCGAACAAACATTACAACAACATGGGAGAAATAAAAAAATTAGAGTATTTGTATTTGGGGGGAAAGATAGCGTGAGAAATTTCAAATTAAGGAACATTTAATCCTATAGAAATGTCGTGGGAGAAACAGGAGGGTTTTATTAAAAGAATTTCTGGACGCCACATTTTTTGAGATATTTAGATAAAATTTTTCACATCCAAGGAAATTGGCTGGAAAGATTCTTCGAGTGTGTGTTGGATTATTAGGAGAAATGAGTGTGTGTCTGTGTAATAGTAACAGATTAATACAAATCTGTTTAGTATGGGTGACGCTGATATGTTTTTTTTCTCAGCGTCTTGTCGATGTTTGTTTGATTAATTGCGTAGCGACGTGCCTTCCTCGCGTATCAAGATAAAGAAGATTTATAATTAAAATAATATCGTTTAATTTATTACCATAAATTCTAATAGTGTGAATCGAATCGGCGTAACTCGGTCCATGAGATTAAAAGGGTTGAAGACTAATCCGAAAGCATAATAGAGAATTTTTATTGTGATAGGTATTGATCAGAAATATTTCTCAAATCCTTTATTCTCTAGCATATTTTCTTTTTTCTACCGTTTACCTTTTTTATTCTCGTAATACAATTATTTACGCTCCACACATGAAAAATATTTGCATCGCAATATGTCACCCTTCATTCCACGCAAGTATCGCGTATTAAATGGCGTAACGAGTCATCTAAATTACGACCTAACTTGGTTCGTGGGATTAAAAGGGTTGAAGACTATTCCAATAGCGAAATAGAGAATTTTTATTGTAATAGGTATTGATCAGAAATATTTCTCAAATCCTTCATTCTCTAGCACATTTCATTTTCTCCACCTTTCACCTTTTATATTCTCGTAATACAATTATCAAATGGGGTAACGAATAATCTAAGTCACGACTGGGGCTAAAAGGGTTAGAGACTATTCCAACAGCAAGAGAACAAATTTTTATTACAAAACATATCAATTCTCAAGTCCTTCATTCTCCAGCACAATTCATTTCCTCCACTTTCTACCTTTTTTATTCTCATAATACAATTATTAAGCTTCACAACGAAGATTACGAAAACAACCTAAATCTCAAGCTCGTGCTAATTCAACTGAAACATTACAGACTCAGATACAAAGCTAAACCAGAACAATAAACCCCAAAAATCCCCGAACCCCCCATCGAACAAAGAAAAGCTTAAAGAAAGAACTGTAAAAGAGATCAGCCACAATCACCCGACGATTCTCTCGTTCCTCTAAACGGCGTGAATGAGTTTGTCCAAACAATCGTATCCGTGCGGCCACGTTAGAGCATATTAGAAATTAATCCCCGGGCGATCGTTCGCCCTTTCGCCGGGCCGATCGGCGTCAGCATTCGATTAAATAAACAGGAATTA